AAGTCAAGAACTTAAATCTGGATGAATAGGTTCCACCACGAGAAACTCACCCAACTGATCTATAACCCGTTCGCACAGAAAGTCTAGATAGTTAGCTGTGTGTGTACTCCAAAGTCCAAAGTCCGAGCCAAAGGTGAGGCTGAGGCCCATGCACTCATGCAGCCCCTTCACTTCTGTTTTGTTTTCTGGGACGGACGCGTCATTAGTTTTAATTCCCTGCACGATACGATCAGGAAACATACTAGCAAAAAAAAAAAGTATAGAAACATAGAGAACCTAAAGTTGACAGCAGGTGTGTGGATTTAAGAGTAAGACGACAGATGGTTGATTATTTACGCTTGGAGAGAGTCAAATGGTTGGTTTGGCGAGAGTATAGCAATAGTATAGGTTTCTTTTTTTAACGGTAATGCTTGTTCGGTCCATCCGGACGCACTGAACCCGCGTGCGATGACCAGGGAAAAAAAATGAGGGACGCACATTTGTAGTTGCGCGGGACTCGCACACGTTCTTTGCGTGGGACATGGCATGGGAGCGCGTGCGACTACTCGTTCGGCGTGGATGCATGCAGGGTGGGACAGTGTATGAGAGCGTGTGCAGCCACTCGCTCAGCATGGAGTGCATGTAGGGCATGGGGGTCCGTGAATGGGCTGTTACCACACGACACTAGGAGTTTGTGAGAGGAGGGGCCCGTTCTCATGATGGTTGACCGTCGGCAGCTGAGCATTGGCCCAAATTTTTCCACCGCTTCATGGCGGATGTTTTATGTATTTCAGACGTATGTTTCATATTGGATGTTACATATATTTTATCTGGAAGTTTCATACTGGATGCAGGCACAACAGTTGCATTCGGGGCAAGCTTAGCAGCATGCAGGTCAGGCAGAGTGGGCACATGGCAGGTGCGGGAGTTTGGACAGAGGCTAGCGTTCGGACATCGGGACGCTAGCTACTCCTATTTTTTAATAATGCAACTTATGTATATTTATGTAATTGTTAAATTGAATGTATATCTATACATATATATAATACTACTACTAAAGGGCAAAAAAAATTAGTTGGCTAGTGAAGTGTAGCTGTATCAAATAAGCCCTAATTTCTTTATCTCCCTCAGAGCAGTTATAAAACGTGTATTCAAGGTGATGCAAAAATAATGCTACGCAAAAGCCGTTACTTTTGGGGGAAAAAACACTTTTTAGTTTTATCCATTTAGCTGACGTTCTACATTTTTGGCAGCAGAAACATTTTTTAAAGCCCAACCAAATACAACCTAAATGTTATGAAATCGACTTATTAGCGTTTCTCGATGGAGTAATAACGGCATAAGAATTTGTTTTCTCCGCAAATCTCGGTGTAACAATCCCCAGTGAGCAGGGACTCACGATGCGTGTAGAAAGATAATACATACATCATCTAGCGAACCAGACCAGAACTGAATTGAATGTTGCCTGACAAGCTAACTTGATGGTGAGACGAATTCGCTTCCGCCAAAGCCAAACACGTACGCACTTGACTTGACACTGACAGCAGCTGGCGATCGGCGGCCTTTTCTTCTTCCTAACTGAATTGCCAACCTTTTTTCTTGCCATCCGTCAAACTGTATGCGCCACACTGCTACATCATTATGCGACTGTGTCCTGCTGTGGTACCAGTATCGATGGTGTGTGTTATGGCCGTAGGAGCAATCCCAGCTGATGACCCTTTTTTTAATTAGTTTCTTCTCCTGAGCATGCACTTTTATTGTATCGATCCTTGCTGGTGTGAAGTGTGACGATGCAGCTGTATATAAAATTCCAATCTGAAGAACAAGGCTTATGCCTTGCAGTAGCGAGCAGCACGCGGAAACTGAGACCCAACACCAGCCCTGTTACTTGTCAACAACAAATAAATAGTAAAAAAAATCAGGCCTGCTTGCTGGCCCATATAAGGCATCCAGAGAACACTGCCAGCCAACAATACATACTCTCATGTAAGGTGTCTTGTATATACTACTATATACGTAGTAAAAAATGTATGCATTACCTCATCTGATCCGAGACGATTTGAATATTTTAACAACAAGCAAACAATGTGTTTTATATGTGTGTGCCATCAGTCAGCTCAGCTCTCACTCATGGTTATGTTAGGCAGATCCCTGCTGAAATATACTACATTTATAAAATAAAGCAGGCGACCAAAACCCAAACTGGTCATGATCAGAGTCAGAGTTTCGTATTAAAAGACAGCCGCCTAAATTAAATTAAATATCATCCACAAATCCCAACCGCATCCCCAGTGAGATTTAGCGATAATCAGAATATGATCGATCCTCTGCTAACCAATCTCACATGTGCTTGCAATGCATGTTGGTGTGCTAACAAATCTCTCACACATGCATGGTGGCATCTGCTTATCGGCTGGCTAATGATTAGTCTCGGTCTGAACATGCAAGCAGCTAGGTACCTGTGCACGTCCGATATCACCATCAGCATCAGCATCGGCATCGCCATCACCCAGCAAACCAGACCAAATCATACCAGAATATATGGGACCAATGCCAACTTCAGAGGGTTCGGACTCGCTTGGGCCAAACACAAACCACTCGTCCTCTCCTTTTCCATTGCCTGTTAGGTTGGTTCCAAGTCAGTCAGTCACTCAGACAGACAGTCCTTTCTTCCTAACAGGAACAGGCTAACAGAATTGGCCAACTTTTTTCTCGTCTTCGCTATGTCAAACCGTGCTGCAGTGCAATGCAATGCGTGATCAGCGTTCTCCTAGTTCGTAACAGAACACACAGCGGTGGCGGAGAAAAAGTGGCTGGAACGGTGGATTTGCCACTACCAGACTCTAATTCCCAATATATAGCACCATCTCTCAAGTCTGAACTCTTTCTTTGAACATCACGCAAAAGATTTGTGCGCTTTTGATTGAGTCTCTAGCTCAGTCTGGACGCAATACAAAGACACTTTGGCCGCAGTACAAGAAATAAGGTCCATCTCGGATGATTCATCATGCACCAAGAAAAATTAAATCAGACATGCTACCTAACCTCTGTTTCTTTTGGATTATTACAGATGACATTATGCCTAAGCTAATTCCACGTGCTGCTATATATAACTTCTACCATTCTAGGTGCTGCTCATTTTGCTACCTTGCAAACTCAGGATGCTCCTATGATTTTTTTTATGCCTCTTTTGACTTGCAAAATCCTACTTCAAACAATCAAACCAAAATTGGAGTTGCCATTCTCATTCAGCCTACTAGGAGTATTCTCCATGCTTCTTTTTTTCCAGGTAGCGATTGCTCGGGTCTTGGAACCCTTAGAGGTCAACGCTCACGCCCTCCTTTTTGGTGCCGAGATAGCTATGCACCCGATCTTGACGACACAACTTTGTGCATAGGTGCTGGCCTCCGTTGTGCTTGTTAGATCGCCACACACTCATCTTAGACATTGGTCGATGTGTCCTTTCATTGCTGAACAAGAAGCTTCTCTGTAATCAAGATCTATAAGATAGTTGATTCTCTTGCTAAAAAGGGAAGATGAGCTAGCATCCCGAATTCATATCTTTTCTCTTGCTAGGCACTTGCTCATTCTCCAACTTGTAATATCAAGCACGTGGTAGGAAACTTTGATTAGGGTAACTTCATCCTCATCTCTGTAACCTGTTTGTAATGATATGAAAGTTTAAAATTTCATTAAAAAAAATGCAAAAAGATGCTGATCATGGTTGGGAAGCTTTTCGAGCCTTCCAAATGTAGGAGGAAGACAGGTGTAAAGACAAGGTCAAGAGGGCTGTCAAAAGGGCCTTACTTGACTGGGCTATGTATGACAAAGGACTTGATGCCCGGTTGAGAAATCTAGCAAGGCATACTCTTTGTGATACCTTGTCCACCAGAAAGGAAGAACTTCCACAAGACCTTTGTCAGGATGCTGTGAACGCATTAGCTGATTTGGAACTCAACTGTATGGACATCAAAAGATAAGATGCTCTGTGCCATGAAAGTGGAATCAATGCTGTTGAGGTGGATGCCGCCGTCAGAATCTGTTCGCAGCGATCATTCAGACTACTAATATGAACATGGATGACAATGGCAGTGTTTATATATTTCTTCATGGTGCGTTAGAACTTGGTATGGAAATTGTGTTCAGCGACGTAGGTACTTGCATTAATCGGAAGACTACTCTGACATTCAGTGTCAGGATGGCATGTTAGGCATGGGCACAGTTTCCAACTTGTGATCTTTGTAGGTGTTACTGAGCAATTCAGCTCATCTCTCTGTGTAAGTAATATTTATGCCCAGAAATTGGTTGTGATGTGCACCATTACAGCTGAAAACTGTGCCAACGCAATCTCTGAAGTCTGGAAGCTGGTTGTAATGAGCACTATTACAGATAGTGATGGAATGCCACCAGACTGATCACAAAGAGCAGCATCTCCAGCTGACCTTTGGCACAAGATTTGCAGCTTTTTTTTTAACAGAATTTCCACCTAACTTTCTATGCAATCCAGAAACAGGCATGGGGGATTCACTAGTCGTTATGCACCAACAAAAAACACTGACATGCTACCCAACCTTTGTTCTTTTCCCTTCTCCACAGGTCTGTTTTTAAAATAAAGCCTATTAAGTTCTAATGAAGAAGTGCATCAAATGCTTCCAAAGAGTGTAACTTATCATCCAGCTCCACGACACCAGAGTTAGGTGCAGTGATTTGGAACTTGCTACAACTGATAGTGCACCAAAACTGGAAGGTATGCATCGACATGACATAAGACATGAAGCTACTGCTAAAGCATTTTGCTTCCTCCATCTATTAATCAGTTATTCAGTTCCTTAAATTCAAGGAGTCAAGGTACAACAAGATCGCTAGAACACATAAATACTGTAAAATTGCCATATCCGCACAATACAGGGCAATGGGAGGAGCAAAGATAAAGAAGCACATGATTTCAGAGGGAACACATCTATTGCAAATGAAAGCAAAAACAACATCAATTTGTCATCCTAACTATGCATACATAAAGCCTACTTCTCTTTATCAGAAACCTCATTGAAAGACAGGTCAAGGTATTCTGCTAGGCTCAATCCTGATGTTGATTTAATTTGGCCTTGAGCAGGTGTTTCCTTCTTTTTGCGCAGCGATTCTGGAAGCCAGGACTTGTTGGAGTCATACTCAGCCCTAGGTATTAGTATGTTGCCAACAGCGGGTTGCAAGTCCAACCAAGGGTCATCAAGCATTGACTTGTTGAAGTAACTCCGGCCTTGCCTGCCAGGATGGTTATGGAAACCGACACCACCCCTCCCCCCTCTCCCCCTTGAACCTGGGCTGCCAAAGTAGTTGGGCTCCCTGCCACGTCCATAAGATGAGTATGGGCCACCTCTTGGTCCATAATTCATTGGGCTACCACCTCGGCTGGGATTCGGGTGCCTGAACACAAAGTTTGCTGAATTTGAATAAGAACCTCGACCTTGAGGACCAGAATGTGAGCCCCAAGGAGGTGGAGCGCGAGGAGCTCCTTGGTATCCTGACATAGGATCCTGGAACTGCATAGGACTTCGCCATGGACTGCTCCCAGGTGCATCTTGTGGCATCGAGGATGGAGAGTGAACTTGTGATGGTATATGCTGCTGGTGTGGAGGGTGATAGTTGCTGCCATGGTTCCCTGGTCAAGAGTTAGAAACATTGGTCAGGGTGACATTCTACAGTAGTTATGATATCACAGATGGAACTGAAAAGGAATTGGTAGGTTAAGCATGCGGCAAACAGAAGAACTAAACATGACTGCCATGCAAAGCACAAGAGAAGAAATAGATGATGGCAATCCTCACATGTTAATAATGGAACCAGACACCCAACATAGTTTGCATCCGGACTGGACACTATAAGTAATTAAAGCACTTTAGACTCAAACCATTAACCCAAAAATTGTACTCTAAGTTTCTTTAATCAATCATATTCATTAACCATTTAGAACCTAGCTTGTATGCCACTGCTGTAAGGCTGTTTTCTTAACTGCGATATATAATTATGAGTTTCTCACTGGCATCCTTGTTTCTCTGGTTAACCAAATTCCAGCTACTGAAGTGTTATAAGAAACATGTCAAAATCCCTTTAGTTTCAATCTTACAAATATCACTAAACTGGAATCCTAGAATATCATTCTTTGTCTTTGGAGAACTAGATACCACATCGTTTTTATGCCATGCTACCTAACCATCTAATTCCTCAGACAAACAAATTTTAGACAGACTAATAAGTAAAAGCTCAAAATAAAAAGTTAAAAGCTGATCTGATCATCTTAAACATGCAACATCAGCATATTGGAAATTCGAATTGAATAGAAGAATCTACATTATGCTCAAAGGATGTTTAGATTTAACTGATAAACATCACAGAGTAGCTTTAGAACAGAAGCGAGCCTTTTCCAATTCAACTGTAACACTCATAGAAAATGAAAATTTAAATCTGAATGCAGATTCATCAAGAAAAATCATGTATGTACCAGTCTAATAGAACACATAGAAACCAGTGTTTAGGGCGAGTGCTGGGTTCGCGCTGGATGCCTAGGGCGGCGCCTAGACGACAAGGCGCCAATGTTTCCCAAGGCGAGCTGGGTACACCTGGACACCTAGGCATCGTTTAGGCGACGCCTTTGAAATGCTGATAGACACCCTTATGGTGTTAGGCACAAGGTCAGCCACTGCCAACAGAACACATAGGCCGAATGCCCAACTATAGAAGAGCACCCTTAATGTTAAGTTGCTGTCTAAGCATGCGCAAAACCCCAGAAGAATAATGTGGACTGTAAACTGAAAACTAAGTTTGCCTCTTAAAATGCAAACCAGGAATGAGTTGTACTTGTACTATATAACCAAGTTCCCAGCAAGTATGCATTATCCTTTTTTTTTCCCTCTGCCTATGCCCTATAGGTTGATGATACCTTTTTTTATACTTGTAGTAGGGAGTGTTTTGTTAAGGTTTAGATTCAAATGAGTACAGCAAAATGTAACTACGGCTTCCTATTAGTTCAATACTAGAAATCAGAAAGAGGATTTAGTTAAGATTTAGAATCAATTATGAGTATGGGGACTGAATTGTGCAGGATATGCAACCCTAATCCGACAACCGACATTAGTAGGGAGAAGAGAAGAGTAGCCAAAGCTAGTAGGTGCGTGTAGGGTAGTACGGACCATAAGCCGGCGGAGGCGGGGCGTAGCAGGCGGGAGGGCCCTTGCGCTTGTGGGACCAGGTGGGATTTGTTGCGCCGCCGGAGTAGGAGGAAGTGAAGGCGGCGGCGGGGTTGGTGTAGTAGTCGAACCGATGGGGCGGGGGCGGGCACACGGATGCGGCCTGGTCCCCCGGGAGGTCAGGGTCCGGGAGGAGGCTCCCCGCGGGCGCCGGGGGAGGAGCCCCCGCCGGCGACGCGTTTGCGGCGGACCGGAGGGCGAGGAGGCGCTCCCGGCGCTGAGAGGAGGACTCCTCCGCCTCGTGCTCGCCGCCGTCCATGTCGGTTCTGGTCGACCCGGATCCGGATCGAATCGCTCCCTCGCTCACTGTCGCCGAGGTGGCGTGGTCCGCCGTCCGCCGTCCGCTGCTGCTGTGGGCGACGCCGCGAATTGCCCTTCGGAAAGAGGGAGCGGACGCGAGCACGAGGCGGAAGAGGGGAGCTGACGGGGAGTCGCGGACAGGAATGGGCTGATGGCCGACTCCGAACAGAAGATTGGTCAGCCCACCAGCCCATGTAACAACATTAATGTTTTGAGGTTTGTTACAGTGCTAAGACATTTTTTTTGCAGCTGTGTGATTAAAAAAGAATTGATTATGTGTAATTATGGGTAGTCTTGTCTTTTTACTGTGGACACTAATTTTGATTGACATCTTCCTCCTCACGTCATGCCGTCACATAAACTAGATGCTAGAACGACAGAATAGGGGCTCGCGCTACTGCCTGTATACACACAGCGCCTCGGCGACGGCCGCCTGTCCTGGTCTCACCGCGCGGACGCGTGCAAGGGCTCAACGCCGACCATCTGCGGGGCTTGCCAGCGCTCGCATGCAAGGGCCTGCAACTCAGCCGGTACAGGGATAATGGGCGCCGCCCACCTACACGAGGCGCACCGACTGCCGCCTAAGAGTGCCTCCTGCCACCTCCAAGGGCTTGTCGTGGCCGGCTGCATCTAATCCTTTCACTGAACTTTGTACTTTTGTTACTTCTGAATCTCACGTCACCAAAAAAAAATTTGAAGGAAACTATAACAGCTTAGGCTTCTTGCTATGCTGAATTGAGAAATAATTGATATCAACTTCAGGACAGAAGCACATGATCTACAAACCACGTCGCCTTCAAGGTGTGCAATATCTTGTCAGAGATCAGACCACAAGTCCATGGATACTCAAAGGTACTGAGCTCAAGAGCATGCACCCTTGATACAAGAATTGGGGTTTTGACGTAGAGCATCTGGTTGTCGGCCTGATGCAGAGCGGGATCGGCGTGTTTGCGCCACAAGAGTGGAGGAGAAATAAGAAATAAGCAGAGAGGAAACGGGACAACGAGAGCCAGCGCGTCGAGAGGGAGGGTCGCTGCACCGACCGCCTAGGAAAGGGAGGGAGCTGCAAGCCCGGCCATCGGAGTCCACACAAGGGGCAGCCAGGCCACGGACGCGTCGAGAGGAACGAAGCTGCGGAAGAAGCAGCTCATTCGAGAAGCAGCTCATTTTCTTTGATTCAGAAAAGCTGCTGCTGAGACGTCAATTGTACCCTCCAAATTTAATCAAAAACCAGTTCCGGATCCACATATTATTTGGTTCCGGCCCACAACTTAAGTTCTTTCCACCTGGTTTCTCTTATTTTTAAACCATCAGATCTAGCGAATCGGAGGGCTCCCATTATTTCCGAGCGCCTTAAAATTTCACTAATGTTTTTTTTTTCTAATTTCCTTTTCCTTTTCCACTGTTCGACGCATAATTTAACTAATTTAATTCATGCGATTTATATTTTTAAAATTTTATTTATCATTCAAGCTCTTATAATACATATGATTTTATAATTTAAGACGCTTATAATTTTGCCATTGTATGGATAGAAATTTAATTTAAGACGTTTATACTCTAACTAGTAGGTAGATTGGTTCGGCTTACTCGCTTTCGGCGATAGTTTCGTCCCGAAGAGTAGCCGTTTTTCACCACGTAAGAGCATCTTCAAGAGTTTGGTAGTATAGTTTAATTGCTAAACTAATAGATCTAACAACTTAATAGAAGAAATAGCAAGCTTAAATGTTATTATTCTCCAATAGTCTTCTATAATAGCTCTCTAAGACTGTCTTCAACAATCATTATCCAAAATACAAGACCTATTCCACGTTTGGGTAGCGTTACAGGCAAATGGTTCAATACATATTTTTGGTCTTCTCCAACAACAAGACCCAAAAGAAAACCCTTTCTGCAAATAAGTCTCTAAGAGAGAAGATACTCAGATTTGGGTTATATCTCTTCTGACACCCAAAATGGGTCTTCGATATAGATACGTTGTTGGACGCTATAGGTATTCTGTTGAAAACCTATTTTGGGTTTGGGTTTTTTTTATGGAGACAGCCTAAGTAATTTTGCACTAGGTATTGACATTTTAGATTTTCTAGGTATGTTGCTTTTCCTATGTATGTCTATAAACAAAGTAAAATCAATGTATCTAAAAAAAACCAAAAACATCTTATAATTTGAAATAGAGAAAATATTGTACAGGACAACCGATTGATCTCTTCATTCTCGTGCCTTTTTTCTAATTTTGGATTGGATCACTCCATAGCTTTCGTTTATTCATTCAATTGAAATTCATGTCCGTACTGCATAAAAAATACTCCGTATAGTCTTTTGCATTCGGTTTAGTTGCATGCGTGTAACCGTAGTTCTCTGCCATCGATCAACTGGGGTACGGGGTCCTCAAATTTTGTTTTCACAAAATCGATTGAACTTGATATTTTGATGGCCATAGCGAAGCAGGGCAAGATATATATTAAAAAGGAAAATTGCAAAAAAGAAACACACATAAATATATATATATACAAAAGTATTAATGTTTAAGATGTGTAATAAATATTGCTAGATTAATTATGAAATATATAGTTTTTTATAATAAAGCTATTTAAATATTCAAATGTAGATAATAACGCCTATAAATCTAGTCAAAATTAAGATTATTTGACTCCTCGATAAGTGATATTTTCATTCTTTTCAGCACAAAAGGGGTATATATATAACTTTTACTACAACATGATGAATAAGCTTACCTAGCACTTGAACAAAATTAGCATGGCCTCTCATGACTCTATATAGGGGAAAGTAGGCGAAATTGGAGATGAGTGTGTGTATGGTGGGTGATTTTTGCAACATGACTAGCTAGCTGAGTAGGGGATGAGCACTAATAACAAATGATTTATGGAAAAATTTCAAACTTAAGTTGGCATAAAGGGTGTGTTTTTTTGTGTCAAAATAAAAGGTGTTTTTTTCTTCTTAAAATTTTCCTATATAAGTTGTTAGCGTGAGGTTTGTGTGGAATCCATAGAGAGCGGGAAGAGAGGCAAAAGCTCAGTACCATAAAGCCAGATAAATATTGTGCTCATTCAGGGCCTCTATGGTTAGAAGCTTAAAAAAGTTGAGGCTTCGTAGACATTGTCTTAATAATCATTTAGTGTACTCATTTTGAATGTATGGAGCCAGGATTTATTGCCTAGCAGCCAGGCCTCAGTTCAAACAAGCTATTAGTATAACAATATATGGCCTATTGCACCAGATTAAAAGATAAGCATGATGCAAATTTGTAAAGGAATTGATTTAACCCGTTGTCAACATTTTTACATACATTATGACGTGGCTTGTCTTTTTTCATCTCGTTAGTTAAGAAGTTGTTGACCTGTTTCAAGTTTTTTTTCTATACCTAAGAACCAAAATTTCTGTCTCATTTATTTGTCTGGCCCTTCATCGCTTGTAAGGATGGTAGAAATCTTCTGAAGCCTACGGAAAATCGGACACAACAGGGCGGTAAGAAAAGAAACTCGAAGCAGGCATTATCGGACCTATAACCAGATAAAAACATGGAAATGGATCGCCGGACCTAACCAGACCGAACAAAAAAAGGGGTTACCGAACCTAACTGAATTGAACACGAAACCTGAAGAAAAGAAAATTTGACGCGCTAGAGATGGAATCTCCTATCTCCTTCTCCTACAACTAAAAAGAACAAAAGTAAGACAATCGAATGGTGCAATAATTTTTGGGTCGTCGCTCTGCCTCTCCCCGTGCGATCATGCGACACTCCCCAACGTGCGCCGGCAGGTGGAAGGGTGAAAACAAAATAAAGAATAAGAAATGATTCCTGATGCAAATATACGAAAAGGAAAGAATATATAAAATTGATTAGGATAATTTAGAAATAATATAGGATTCCTGATATAAAATTGTCTTCCTAAATCGTCAAACACCGTGATTTGAGGAGATAGAGCCTTCTATTTTTATTTTTTATTTTGTGTGTGTGTGAGATAGACTCATTTGCACGCGGTCATGCAAAGGTACCACCAGGCTGATCGCTATCCCATGCATCGCACCCTCGGTCGCGCTTTCACTGCCGCCCACCTCACCGCAAATCGTCCGGCCCTCATTTGCAGCCTTGTCCATCACTGGGGGTGGCAGGACCTCGTTGAAGCACCGTGTCCCCTGCACCAGGTACGTCGTGTCGTGCACCTCGTTCGCCACCGCCGGTTCCGACCCGTCCGCTGTGCCTCCTTGGTTCGTGCCTGAGGCCTCCGTCACCTCTGCTCGCCGTCGGGGGCTGCCGCCCGCCGCCAGATTGAGAACATCTCCTACGTCGATCGAGGCGCGAGCGCGACTTCATTCACCGATCGATACGTACGTGTGTTCAATTTGTTTCCCAATAACCTCTCCACAACGATTAATATAGCATAAATCATAGTGAGAGTGGGGTGCTCCTCTCATCTCAGCTGTAGAAACATCCCGTGGCCATGGTTGTTTATCTATGGATCCCTGATGAGGGAGCTAGGGGAATGAAACGAAGCTGCTGCACTTTTTTTTTTGGTATTTCCTTCATGATTTCACCTGTGTTCGATCTGAACGAACATAGTTGATATATGATCCGTTCATCATTTTATTTATTTATTAGGTGAAATCTAGGTAGCTAATTCTTTCCCCAAGTGTGTAGATGGGTTTCTGATGTGCCCATGTGGAATCAACCGAATTAACACCTGCATTATTACAAACATAAATTATTTGAATCAGATAAACGAAGCAAGTTAGCAGTAACAATGAACAATAGTGCTAAACAATACCATGCCAGCGTTGATCTACTCCAGTTGTTCACCATCACTCTGTTTCGTCAGTGAGTTTCCATTTCACTTTCAGTTTCGTTAGAGTTTAGTTTTATTTCAGTTTCGTCAGTTAAGGTTGTAGTTAGCCTGACGCATGCGTTTGGTTCCTGCGGAGGCACGTCCGAGTCCTGCG